CAAATAATGTCTTATGAGTTATGATTTTTTTTTTGTCCGTGATGAAAGCTGCACTGCTTTCGAATTGTTTTTCTATGTAAACAGGTGCAAGACGAATGCGAATCACATAAATACGTTCTGCATGAACAGCCTTTGTGCTTTTATTTAGCTCACCCTCATTAAGTCCTTGTTTTAAGTGGCTGATATTTATAGCTAGCTGTTTCGACCTGTAGGTGGGACTGTTATCAGTCGGCGGGTTTCAACAAACTGCCATTGATTCAAAGAACTAATAATGAAATTGTTTAAGAAAATCAATAAATTAAACCTAAAAAGTCTGAATTCTATGCAGACAGATTCTATGCATATTCCTGTGTTAACACAATCACTTGGCCTTGTGGGCTTCTTCTTCTTTCTAGTCTATTTTATTCAGTTTGTGGAGAATTTTGTCACTTTTAATGGAAGTCAAGAACATTTCCGTCATTCAGTATTTCCCCCCACATCTCAAATGATGTGTTTGATAACATTCACCAGCAAGAAATGGCTTTTTCAATTTTTCCCCCGGCCTTGGAATTCTAGCATTTTTTGTATCCTAAATACAAACTACTATTTTCATGCTATTTAAATAATTCGACAAAATACAATTAAAATACGATGCACAAAAGCTATGGATTTTTATGGTCTTGAAACAAAGTGTGGTAAATATATGCATAATGATTTTATTGATATTTAGATGTTCACATTTCAGATTCACAATTCAGTCTTTTTGTCTGGGATAGGCTTAAAACAATCAAATATTACATAAATGGAAGTATAAAACATTAATGATGCAGGCATGGGGGAAAAAAAAACTTTTCCAAGACAGTTTTAATGAAACCTTCATATAACAAAAAGAAAAAAGTTGAAATCTTAGTTTTAACAAAAGTCAGCAACTGGGACATTAAAGTGCCCAAAGTTAAAGAAACACAGAAATGCTTTGCTTTCTCATTACTAATGCACAATCCTCTCTCTTTCAAACACACGCCATCTTAACAACAATCAGATTTTCCCATTGCTTTTACTTTGCCAGCTTGAAAACAATGGATTTCCTCTCTGTCGCCCTTTTCTTGAAACCTGAATTTAATTTAAAACAGTGCAAATATCCATTTGTTTCAAGTTAGTACCCAATGTTCCGAAAATAAATGGTTCACTATTTTATAGGCTACTTATAAAATATATAGTATATTCTTTATGTTTCCATTCATATTTCAGTTAAATCATTCATCATTTTGATTTATTTTACTCTTTTTTTTTCAAGCATCTGTTTATTGACATTACCACAGTTTACCTTTCATCAAGGCTTTTCATGACTTATCTGCCATTGACCTTTAACCCCATATATTCTCAGTTTCTGCTCTTGTTGATTAAGTGCTGTCAGAGGTGAAGGCCCGCTGGTGTTCACCATTTCTCTTCTGTTGGGATGAAGGATTTCAGTTCTGTTAAAGCAGAAGATACTATAACTACACTCTAAAAAATGCTGGGTTGTTTCAACCCAACTTTGGGTCAAATATGGACTAACCCAACTTTTGGGTTAAAAATGTAATGTAAAAATTTAACCAACAGTTGGGTTAGTTCATATTCGACCCAAAGTTGGGTTGAAACAACCCAGCATTTTTTAGAGTGTAATCTCAATTTTCAGATTTTTGTAACTTGAATGTGCAAGGCTTTCCGGTTTCATTCCCTTACAGTTATTTGCTGTACAAATGCTGCTTGATATTGCAAACTGGCATTTGTTTTCATTCATTTTAATTCCCTGATAGCACACTCTAAAAAATGCTGGGCTAAATACAACCCATTGCTGGGTAAAATAGGGACAAACCCAGCAATTGGGTTGTTTTGACCCAGCGGTTGGGTTACTACCCAGAAGGTTGGGTTAAACATTTAACCCAACCGCTGGGTCAAAACAGCCCA